TGCTGAGGAGGGGAGAGGGCGTGAGGTCCAGGCACGAAGGTGGGAACAGCCCTGGAGACGCACCGAGCTGAGTGACCTTAGGGTCCCTCCCAGCTGTGATTCTGTCCTTGAGTGAGTTCTGCGAAGATCGGGGGTAGGAGGGAGATTCTGAACCTGAGGGGCCTCACAGGGGTCGTGTGACATGTACGAGGATCTGTGTCCTCTGTCCTTTCAGCATCGCATGTTTAGTGTCAAAGCAAATGAAGATATGATATTGATAGGTATAGAATATTTAATAATACGGTTGGTTTTTAGGCTTTTTTTAAACAGACCGAAGGTCCAATTCGATCCCCTGAAAATTACGGGCTTTTAATGACCCTCGAATATCCCAAAAGAGTTTTGTAGTCGTTGATTTTAACTCAGAACCTCAACAAAGAAAGCTAAATGGAATGCTGTTCATCGCGACCCTTTAATACACAGTAAATTTAAATCATTGAGGATAACGCATTTCATCGTAATCAGACTGGCTCTTCGAAATGGAACCAGGTGTTGTAAACATAGTAAGTGCATATCCTTAATACGAAACCTAATAATGCAAGGAATGTGGGTGAACACATGGAAGAATAATACATCAGATGAGCTCGTACCAAAGATGATGAGAGGTAGTTCCAGCCAAACCGCCGCTAGCCGGAAGAGCAGAAACGGGGCGATGATCCCCCCAAAATCACATAAACCCGAACAGAGCGAAACTCCAAAGTTTCTGTAAATTAAAAAAAAAAAGTCTTAAATGGGAAATATTTAAATAAATTCAAGATAAGCAAGACATTCAGATATAGAAGTAACAAAGAAATTGTAACAGTATTTTTCCATTTCTACGGTTTTTAACTTTGAAAACGACTACTCTGTCACACTCTGAGCAAACCACTTCCGTCTGGCACCTTTCCACATCCGCGTGGGCGCTGAGTCCCAGCGAGGCTAGCGAGGAGCTGCACAGTGACATTTTTCCAGTGGCAGCTCACTAGCCAGCCAGCTCTGTGACACTTACGTGCCACCTGGGCACCCTAGCTGGACGGGCAGCCGTGCCATGAATATTTCTAGGAAAGGAGACCAATGTACACTAGTTCCGCTCTGTCCCGCTCACGGCTACCAGGTGCAGGGCATAGCCAGGACCGGCCGTGGCCTCCAAACAGGGCGATGCTGATGAAGACAGACTGAACGCACATCTAAGTCGGTGCACTGACCAGGTGTTCTGATTCCGAGTCCAATGCCTTCCCACAGAACCACAGCTGTGTGCAAACGTATCGGTATGAGAAGTATTTCTATCACACAACATGGAGGATAGCAATGCAGAAAGCAGCTACAACGCAAACCACATCATCTTTACTGGCTGAATCCAGCCTGGGCTACTATGTCACTGAGCTAAGGAAACTATTGCACCGTTTTTAAATGAATTCAACACACTTAGCTGTGGAGTTACTTAGGAGAAACCATGACATAGATGTTGGAATTACCGTAATGTTGTTGGGTACAATTCTGAATTTACCAAATAAACAATTTCGAAGGCCATGGTTATCCCCAGCCTTCCCAGAGTGGCGACCGTGGTCCTCAACCATGGTATTCCTGCAAGCACAGAAAGTTTGGAAGGCAAAGGTTAGGGGGTCAATAAAATTTTACAAAACAATGAAGGGCATTTGCTTTGTCCTCCCAACCCTCAGTCTTTGCAAATTTTAAGCACGAATGAGCCATATCTTCTAACATCATAGCCAAATTTCAATAGCGACCACCCCGCCAGTACGATAGCCAACATCTCAGTGTGCCAGCTGCTTCTCTGAGCAGGGTTCGATTGCAGACATACGTTCGAAAACCATTCGCTGGGCAGCCGCTATACTGAAAATATGTCGGGCCTGAGTACACTGGCCTTTTTTCTGGAAGGTAGCCTGGCTTGTGCACTTGAAAACCATCGCCAGTGTCTAGTGTCCCTTTGTCGTCTCTGCTTATACCGTTTGAGATCACACACAGAAGAGCTGTTCCCAGCAGACCCGGAGTGGTCCAGACACGAAGCGCCTTTGGTTTCTAGAGAGCAGCAAGGTTTCATGGCCTGGGGCCTCCGGAAGGGGGTGTCCAGGCCGTCGTCATCGCCGAGGCCTATGCCACCGTCGTCTTCCTCAGCCCCCCTCTTGCTGCTTTCCCCCGGAAGTTATCTGGAGGAGCCCGAGGCTTAAATACTAGCTGGTTCATTGATTTAAAACGAAACCGTTCAGGGATGTTCGGCTCGTATGAGGAAACGCAGAATGTTCTTTGTTAAGTATTTTCCTTCTTTTGCCTTTTAAGGGAAGGAGCAGACCAGGAAACGCAGAATGTTCTTTGTTAAGTATTTTCCTTTTGCCTTTTAAGGGAAGGAGCAGACCGTTTCTGCTCAACAATGTCAGTGCTCCAAATTTCTCGAATTGTGCCGCTCATGCCAGCCTTTCCTGGAGGACTTGATGCAAGAACATGTGACCACACGAACGCGAGCAGACCTACCCTCCTAAGAGAGCCAAGGGCGTTGGGCAACAGCCGACTTCCATCTCTGAAAATGAAACCTTTCCCTCTCACGACCATACTTACTTGCGCTCACGCAGCACTAAGTGGTCCCTTTGTCTTCTAGAGTTATTGCACGTTCCTGAATATGTAATTTCGTAGCAGAAAAGTAGGCATGAATGAGGAGGACGAGAGAAGAGACTCAAGCTCAGTAGATCTGTGCGTGTTCTTGCTGAAGAATATTTATAAAGAATATTGAACAAGCAAAAAAAGGTAAAACCCACTAAATAAAACAATTTAGGAGGCGAGCAGAGAAAAAGATGGTTCAAGAATCCAGATCATCGCTGAGAGGCCCCAGCTCATTGCGTTGCAAACCGGCCGAGGTGTTTCTCCCGAACGAGAACACCTGTAGCTCCCCCACAAACAGCGGTTACATCAGGAGCGAGGTGATCGGAGTCGTACAGATGCGAGGCGCTGCCATCTGCTCCGGCACAGGACGGTCATGAACATGTGTTTTATTTAGGTTTTCTGTTCTCATTAAGGCCACGGAGGGAGACCGGGAAGCGTGCTCCACCCCTGCCTTCGGCAAGCAGGCGGCACAGCACCTGGGGGATCTGGGGGACGGAATGTGGGAGCCGTTGCCCAGTTCCCCTGGGTCCCAGCCCAAATGGGCAACTCTCCCACCCTCACCATGCTCTCCGCCTGCTAATGTGGAAATAACTGGATTATCCAGGTTCGGTACTTAGCTTATAAGCTTCTTCTACTGAATCAACACTGCTCTATAAGTGAGTCCCACTGACAACTTCGATGACAATTTAACTTACAGCTGAGGCTAGGACAGTTTGCTGGAAGGAACTAAACAAAAACCAGACTAAAACACACACCTACACACACACCATGAACAACATTTGTGGTTAACTCGGTGAATACAGATAAATAACTAGTCCATTCAGAAAAACGTTCAGAAAACACTGTCAAGTTGACAGCCCTGAGGAGACACAGTCGGTCTTACATGCTGACCCTAACCTCAAAGACCCTCATCTCCTTCCAGTATTTACACCGCCACCAGGACAGAGATTCTGTTGAAACAGATTCTGTGTAACAGAAGTCCCAAAGGCACTGCACAGTTTATCGACTAAGAATAAAATGAAAGCAATTTATCAGAGAGTGTAAACGGTGTGCGAAGATGACAAGTGCACGCAGAAACTCTTGATCGCCCCTGTCGTGTGCTAAGTTCCCTGTGAAGTGGCATTGTTTGGTAGCAATGACCAGAAAAACCACAAGACAATTTAAAAATGAGAACTGAAGCTGAAATGGTCTTCTTCAGAGTCATGACAACAGAAAAAGTGTGTCTGTCCCCTCTGAATGGGGATTTTGTCAAGCTTCTAGGGATTAGTGGGAGTAACACCTCGATTTTTGTAGAAAAGATGCAAAATTTTAAATACATGCAATTTTGTATCTCCTCTGAATGGACCCGTCTGTTCTGAGTTCTGAAATAAAACTTAGTGAAAATTCCTAACAAAGATATGTAAATTAAGATACAGGGACTTACTTTTCACATAAAGAGAAATAAAAGTAAAAAATAGTTTTTTCATTTCAGAAAGAAGACGTAACCAGACTACTGGGTTTGTAGCCATAAACTCAAACTACCGATGGCGGATGAGGTGGATAAAGAAAGCTCTTAATTTTTCAGACTTCGATTAGAGTTCAAAAATTTGAGTCAAAAGCAGTGAGTCTTAGGTGAGGACACGTACTGCCTAAAACATTGTTTCTTTTTCCAGAATTTCATTCTCTAGACCATGAAAACTTGTGTGTAGTGGAGGGAAAGCTGGTTAAACTGTTTTCTATGAGCCGATTCCTCTAAAAGGCTAATGAGCATTCTCCACAGGAGCCGTCAGCCTTTGATGATGACGAAATGAAGGAGGGGCAGAGTCGTCCTAGTGTTAATGGAACAGCCCCCGCCACCAAGCCCAAAAATGGACCAAAGGACCCTCAACTCCAGCGAGAAATCTCTGCCTGTATTTGGTACGTGAAAGGTGCGTTAGGAATTTGAAACCTATTCTTGTCAATCACGACTGACACGTGACTACAAAAGCAGCCAAATCCGTGGAATATATACATAAAATGTGTCCAAAATAAGAGCAATTAGTTTTCCACATTGCTGAGAACAACTCCAACGCTTAAAAATGGAGGTCACATCTACGAAACAAAACTGATCAGACCAAACAGAGAAGTCTATTTGTTGCCTATATTTTCCCATATATGAAAGTGTCCTCTGCACAAGAGCTTGGTTCGACCCACCTCGCTACGTCCACATCGGTTGGCTTGGTTCGACCCACCTCGCTACGTCCACATTGGTTGGACAAACAGCCCTGCGTGCTCTCTGGGTCATGCTGAACGCAGCACACGTTCAAATCATCCCACGCATTCTCGGGCCAGAGAAACTCTCCCGGGGTAAAGGGTACGTCATGAAATCACGGGCTGCACTAGTCTTCAATCTTTCTCCCATTTTCCTAATTTCCTGTGCAATGAATACTCAATCCTTATTCCACAGGCGATGGGAACAGAAGACCTCATCTTAGAGAACTCCGTTTTTAAATCAAACCCCAAACCAGGCGGTGCCAAAGCAAAATGAAAGAGCAGCGAAGTGTCCAGTGTTCCCGATCTGTCACCCTTCCACTCAGACTGTATATAATGCCCGACGACAGGAATTATGTTCATGGCTCTATCCCCACTCCTGGTTTAGCGGAGACAATTCATAGATACTAAATAGACATGTGTTGACCAATATCTATTATACAGATTCTCCAACTCTTAGAACGTATCAACTCAATGCAGCTGATTGAATAGTGTCCCCCAGATTCATATCCAACCAGAACCTCCGAATGCGACCTTATTTGAAAACAGGGTCCTTGCAGATGTGATGGTTAAGACAGAGACACCGAGAGAAGATCATGTGATGATGGAGGCGGAGATTGGAGCGATGCTGAGGATTGCTGGCAACCCGCGACCCCCAGGAGCTAGGAGAGAGGTGTGGGGCAGACCCTCCCCCAGAATCTCTGGAAGGAACCATCCCTGCCAGCAAACAGTGGAAGCTGGAAGAGACTGGGTGGGATCCTCCCCTCACGCCTTCAGAGGCAGCCTGGCCCTGCGACGCCTTGGTCTCCAGCCTCGGGGACTGTGTGAGAATAAATGTCTGTTATTCCAAGCCACCCAGTTTGTTACCACCACCCTAGGGAACTAATACGCCCAAGGAAAATGAGATAAATGTGACTAGTCAGTTCTGTTGATCAGTTCCAGAGGACTCGACGTTGGTTTATTTTCCCCTCTGTTCTGAAGATAGGCATTTCTGTAATTTTATTGAAATAGGATCTATCTGATGTGTTGGGACTTCGTAAACCTTCATATAGTGAATAAACTCATCTGCAAATGTCTGACTGTTTGACTTCCACAATATTATCACTTCTTTCTTGGTCCTCAGAGGAGTCTCAAAAAAAAAGGACAAGCTGTCTTATGCTGACACAAACAACCACCAGAGAATCCAGCTGTCCCCATAACCCCCCTCCCCACGCCCTCTGAAACACAGAAATAATGAACTTGCTCTAATTCACACTTTCATTCGCTGGGAGTGTGAAAGGCTCTCTCCATCCAGTGCCTGCTGTGTTCTAGAGATAACCTGGGCTGTGTTCACGGTGCGTTTGGAGCCACAGACAACTTCCGTCCATGTATCAGGCATCAACTCCCCAAAAACTTAACTCTGAAACGTCTCTGAAATCAGCTTCTGCCATCCCGGCCTGACTGCCACTACCTTCCTTCACGCCCTCAGCATTTCTTCCCCATCGTCCTTGTCCAAACTGCTGCAGCCTTGAAGAGGTCAACCCCGCCCCCCAAAGTTCACAGGACCATAAGCAAGCTCCTGGCGTGGCCCGTGGGACCCGTCACCGCTGGTGACAGACGATCCCCCAGTCTCCTCAGCTGGATATTCCAGTGATAACAAAGGACATGTGGTTCCTGACGCCTCGGAGGTGGTTCCCACTCCTGGGAATGACACTCTGCATCGGAAAACTCGCTGCCACCCTCCCTTCTGCCTGGCGCATTTCTTTTCCTTTCTCATACATGCCTCGTTCTCACTCTGTGAAGCTTTTCTTACACATCCCCAGGGAGCGACCACTCCTCACACCTATTTATTTTTGGTTTTTTGCTTGTTCTAAATCTCGTGAGTCATTCTATTATTTCGTTCATCACGGTGAGTTGTGGAGTAGTAAAATATCTTTCTCCCTCACTAGGTCGCGAAGCTTCTGAAGTCAAGAACCGTATCTTTCTTCCTTTGCCACCTCCACGTTTCTCATGGGGCTGGAGATATGGCCAATGCCCAGGAAATATTTTAAGCACTGTCGATGCCATCACACTGTAAGTCAGATAAAGGTGATTAAAAGTAAACTATAACTTTATGAGCTAGGTTTTGCTCAACACATATTTCATCCACAAATGAACCCGAAAATGGAGGAAAGAGAAAAGTCTATAGAACCCATCTCTTACCCTCAAAGTCTTTACACCGATTCAACAGAATATGGAATAACATCACTACAGCGTGCCCGGCGCCAAGATTTTGATGCGATGCTACATTTTCGAAGGACGAGAGTTTCCCTAGTCTTGATTATTTTGATTTAAGGTTTTGTTTTCAAATTCTCAGCAGCCAAGCAGACTTGGAAGACAATTACCTTCCGGTAAGAACGCCGTGACGAGGCACGCCACCCCTGCCACGACATTGCTTGCTGCGAAGGGAAGGCGTCGTCCAAAACGATCGATGGTCAGTAAGATCAAGAGAGCCCCGGGCAGTTCCACGACCCCCGAGATGAAGAAGTCGATATAGAGGTTGCCTCCTACAATCCCCAGGCGCATGACGAGTCCTTGATAGACCACCGCACTCGTGAACCTGGAGCGACATTGAAAGACGACGGAGAGCAAGTCAGAGATAACTTCAACCTCATTGGAAGGAAGGGGTGCCGCGTAAATTTGACACAAGCTTTTGAATCCGTCGCAAGTCAAACTTACCAAGCAAACATAAGTATAAGCGTGCACTTCCTCATTTGGGGAGTTCTCACCAGATCTAAAAAGGATGGATTACTAACTTCCTCATCTGTAACAGTGATCTATACAAGAGAAGCAGATTTCAGTAGCAATATACAGCAAGAAACACCTGCATATTATAGACTTGTCATTGACTAGATTCGAAGCCACCGAATCAAATGACCCGGATGAACTGACCCAGGTCTTCCGCGATTACATCTTCAAACCCGAGAATGAAAAGCCTCTTTCCTAAATCAGATTCACAAAGATGTGATTGCAGCGCTGAGAATCTCGTCTTAAGCTAATGTCGGCAGTGCCGTGTGCTAAACCGTTCTGAGTAAACAGGGAAACACGGTGTGTTCTAAATTCAGATACATTTGTGCATTTATCCAGTTGGAGAAAATTAGCGTAAAAGTGGCAAAAGCAGGTGGGATCCAAGCAAGTGCTTCTTAATCTATTAAATCCTCAAACCTTATGTTGACAAATAAGCTAGAGTGATGTTAAGTTCGAGGGCAAGCATGGCCCCAAAGGTATCATTTTGCTTCTGTCCGTCTGGCATCATTTTGATCCAGGAAAATTCAGCTCATCAATCTCTGGCCATCCGAGAAGTTGGTCTTTTCCTTAATTCAATTAAACCAAGATTGCTGTTTGTCTCCTTCACGTAAGTCAAGATAAAGGAAATACTACTGAACAACAAACCCTCCTTAACCACAGCTGCTTCCAGAGGAATCATAACCTGATTCCCTGAGTGACAACCATTTTACATCGCCACGTGCAGCACGTTCTGTAACCTCTGTTCAGAGGGCCCTTGGACCTCCCCACTCCCAAACCCACCTCCGCTGGGAGGTCCGTCCCAACCTCGGGTAGGACTGATAACTCCAATCTGTGCCTCTACTCACCAGACCTCTAACTTTGCACCTACACTGCCATACACCCTGCGGGAGCTCTTGGAGGGCGGGGGCCGTATTGTAGCACCAAGCAAGAGCCTTGTGTTCAACCAATGTTTGGGTGATGGTTGAATGTTGAAACAAGAGACAAGTGCCCTGGCCATGTCCATTCCCATAGAGGGCTGCCCTCAGCCTTTGTCCTTCTTTTAAGTGAAAACCCTGCCTACTAAAGCCAGGACCTCACTGTTTCAGATCTGGCCCAGATTGAGTGCAAATCTGGGCAAATTTTCCCTAAGCCATTGAGCCAATCTCTGCCAGTTATCACAGGAATTCGACTTTGGATGAATTCGCACTGAGAGTTACTCGTCAGTCATCTATTCTAAACATTATACGCAATGGGTCAACCAAAGCTTGATACCTCCTGCCTATGCTTACTCCAGAGAAAGTCACACACACACACACCCCACACACACATACACACACACCACACACACACACACACACACACCACACACACACACACACACACACACAGAGAAGACCACAAAATGGATGTCTTTAGATTATTTTTTTTCCTTAAATCTTGTCAATACTGTATTTCTTCTAAACCAAAACACATATTTTTCACATTTTAATTTCTCTTAATTTTGGGATGTCTCCTACAACCGAGCTGATAAGAAAGCGACATGTCATAGTTTAAATAATATGGATTTTCTTACTTATGATACATAAAATGATAACGCGCCTTAAAAACAATAGTGTCTTAGAGTCAACAGTATCTTCCATGACGATGCTCGTGAAAGACTGCTAACTGAGTCCACCAACCATTCTTTGCTTCTTCCTTTTGATAACAGAATTTTAATTGGGCACATGGCTGTTTAGCTAAACTCCCATTTTCCAGCCTCTCTTTCCTCTATGGGTGGCCCTGTTACTAAGATCTCAGCAATGAGGCAGCAGTATATATGTTCTGGGTCCCATCCTTTAAAAGGAAATGACTTGCTCTTCATTTGCTGTCTTTCCCTCCCTGAGGACGGAAGAAGAAGATGCTGGTGAACCAGCTTCAACCATACGACCTATCACAGGTGACAGTGGACAGAGAAGACAAAGAGAACTCGGGTCCTGGAAGGCCTCCCAGAGCAGAGCCCCACTCCGGGGCTGGGCCACTAGCCTCTGGGCAGGCATGTTAGAGAGAAAGACACTCTTCCCTTTTTTCGTCACTATATTTTTGGGGTCTCTGTTTCAGCAGCAAGTTGACCTGTACCCTAATACGATGCCTATTAAGATGTTCCCTGAGCTAATCTTTTAAATTTTAAGACCCCAATGAAGGACTTTTTGTTATTTAAACTTCACTTTTGCTGTTCCAAAAATAAGACAGGAACACCAAAAGTGGAAGAGGAGAACTTACTCTGTTACAACAATATATTATTATGGGGGTGATTGTCAAGATGTTTCCCACAGCTAGTTTTTAGATACTGCCCATATTAAAATGACAAACTTGTTGGTCACGGGGGTGGGGAGAATGGCACAGGGAATGCAGTCAGCATTAATATGATGGCTAGGTTATTAATATGATGGCTAGGTTATTAATATGATGGCTAGGAATGCAGTCAGCATTAATAAGATGGCTAGGTGGAGGGCCAGGGCAGGGAGGGGCAATTGGGGGGATCGTTTTAGGAACTATATAGATGTCTAACCAATGTACTGTATACTTGAAACTAATTTAAATAAATTAAAAAAATAAAAATAAAATGACAGACTTCTATGGAGTGTATAATATCTGTTAGATTCTGGGCTCAGCACTTTACATGAATTATTTTATTAAATTTTCATCAAAACTCTGTAAAGTTAGTATAATAGTCCCCTTCTATCTGCTGTTCCACTTTCTACAGTTTGTTACCTGTGGTTGACCACATTTCAAAAGTACTAAAAGGAAAATTCCAAAATAAACAATTCGTAAGTTTAGACCGTGTGCCACTCTGAGCGGTGTGATGAAGTCTCTGCCGCCCAGCTCTGTCCCATTCAGGACACGAACCATCCATTTCCCAGTGTCCCCAAGCTGCAGACAACGTCCACAAGTTAATCACTAAGCAGCTGGCTCAGTGATCAGATCGACTGTCACACATCGCAGCGTTTGTGTTCAAGTCACCCTTATTTTACTTAATAATGGCCCAAACAACAGCGGTGATGCTGGCACTTTGGATATACCACAGACAAGCCATAAAGCATTTCCTTTAAGTGAAAACATGAATGCAGTAGAAGAAGCTATTTTGAGAGAGAGAAAGAGAGAGAGAGCGAGAGCACATTTACATAAATCAGAGAGAGAGAGAGTGAGCGAGCAAGAGCACATTTACATAAACTTCAGTACAGCATATTATTATAATTGTTCTACTTTATTATTAGTTATTGTTGTTAATCTCTTATTGCACCTAATTTATAAATTAATCTTTATCATAGGTATGCATGTAGAGGAAAAACACATAATATAGATAGGGTTCTGTGTTATCCGTGGTTTCAGGCATCCACTGCAGGTCTTGGAATGGATAAAGGGGAACTGCTGTACTTTTCTTAATCCCATTTTATAAATAAAAAATAAGGCTTAGGACATTAACTATTCAATAGCAGGAAGATATCAGAGTCAGGATTTGAAATCAGCCAGTTGACAGAGACACTCTGTTCTTAACCCCACACCGGGCTGCTGGACAGACAGCTGTGTATTCTAGAAACATCTCTGTAGTTGATGCTCACTTCTAGAGATTTTTAAAGAAAGACATTATGCTCTTGACCAAAAATCTCATCTTCAGTTAAAACACTGTTTTATGGAAAAGTTAGATTTGACTGAAATAATTTGGATAGATTAGATCTGGCTAAGATAATTTAGGTTTCGAGGACTTGGAAGTTCAAGGTTAAAACCACCTGTCACAGGAGGGCAGATTCCCTCCATGGGCGTATCACTCCTTCCAGCGATTATTTTCTCTTCACTCTGGGCTTCTCCACAACTCAGACTTGGGTCTGCCCGGTCGTGGTCACCCCAGATGATTTTCTGGAAGCTCAGCTCATCTGCACACCTGCACCACCGCTCACCCTGAGCGCATGGCCGATGTTGCTTTCAAAAGCAACATTTACTACAATTTATTATAGGCTTTATTTTATTTCTCTTCAATTTTATTTTCTGCCACAATTTATTATAGGCTTTATTTTATTTCTCTTCAATCTTCTTAGTTTCTGCCTATAGCTATGACTTACTTCTATCTACTACATAAAACTCGGAACAACTTCACTTTCATTCAGGCCCAAATGTCAACATCTCAGAGCTCAAGGCAAATCATATGTCACATATTTCAAGATCTCTCATCAATTTGGGTAATTTGATATTTCAACACCTTTGCACATTTTCTGATTACTTCTGGTTTTTAACTGTTTCTAAGTGATAAAATAATTGAGCATTTCTCGCCTTCATGTCAGTCTGCAGATGTCACCTTTTCCCGATCAGATCTCCAGGCTGGTTAAGTCACTACATGGCCACAGAATTATGACCTGCTAGATTTCGACAAGACGATAGAGGTCTAAGCCTGAGGTCAGCAAACTTTTTCTGTAAAGAGCTAGATATTAAGTACTTTGGTTTTGTGGGCTGTACCATCTCTGTCGCAACTACTTGACTTTGCCATGTGTAGCGTGAAAACAACCACAGATAGATATGCAAATGGATGACTGTGAGCGGGGTCCAATAAAACTTTACTGACAAGCACAGGCAGCAGACCAAGTCTGGCTTGCAAGCCGCACATGGCCGCCTGTTTTTTTTTGCTGGAAGAAAGGAACCTATACAGGTATCACTCTTACTTCTGCTACAGAGGAAGAAGTTGAGGCACAGAGAAGCAAAGTAGCTTACCCAGTGAGGACCTGCAGACAGTCAGGACATTTCCATGAAGCTGACACCTAAGTCTGCATTGCTAACCATTACGCTACACTGTGTCTGCAGCATGCAGAGTATACTGTTTATTTCATTGTTTAAAAGTATGCTCGTATCATTTCGTGAATGGTTCTCACAGGGTAGTGGGGTTACGGTAGGTTTTACTTTCTTCTTTTTGGCTATCCTTTTAAAATTCTTTTAATATGCTTTTAAAGTTAAAATTTAAATCTATAATACTTTGTAATAAGAAATAAAAAGCTCATTATTAAAGCAATGGATTTAAATTAGA